TAGTCATTTTAGAGGTATCAGAATTTACAATAAGATTACAATAAGATTTCTGAAGTCCAATTCTCCCAAATCTTGGCCTTTGGTCTGCAAATCTTTAAATAAGCCAGACTTTTGCAATGGATGCTTGAATTTTCTATTTTTCTTTTATAGAAGTAAAAAGCATAAGGCAGATCTTTGTATATACCTTGATCATGTGAACCTGGATACTTAGTATCTGATATGCCTTGGCACAATGGCCAGTAATTCTCTTGGATTACATGTAAAATATAGCCACTTAATTTTTTTTTTTTTTTTACCTTATGACAAAAGCCAGATAAAAAATATTTTTTATTAGGTTTATTTCTTATAATTTATTTACATTATAATTAATGTTTAAATAACAAATATAAATATTTTGTGTTATATAGGATTTAAACAGTCGGGCTCAAGGTGAAGTTACAATCAGAGAAGCTTTACGTGAACTTGATCTTTGGGGAGTTGGAGCAGTATTTACATTGATTGATTATGAAGACAGCCAAAGTCGAACTATCAAGCTGATTAAAGACTGGAAAGATATAGTAAATCAGGTTGGAGATAATAGATGCCTTCTTCAATCCTTAAAGGACTCTCCTTATTATAAAGGATTTGAAGATAAAGTGTCAATTTGGGAAAGAAAACTTGCGGAGTTAGATGAGTACCTGCAGAATTTAAATCATATTCAGAGAAAGTGGGTGTATTTGGAACCCATTTTTGGAGGAGGAGCATTGCCAAAAGAACAGACACGCTTCAATAGAGTTGATGAAGATTTTAGGTCAGTACTCCTACATACGACATAGACATGTGGCAATTTTTAATTCATTCATCTTGTGAAATGTTTAATTTGAGCTAATTACTTTTCCTTTATTGGTATCTTCTGTGTATTTACCCTCTTTCTCTCTCTCTTCAATAGAGTTGATGAAGATTTTAGGTCAGTACTCCTACATACGACATAGACATGTGGCAAGTTTTAATTCATTCATCTTGTGAAATGTTTAATTTGAGCTAATTACTTTTCCTTTATTGGTATCTTCTGTGTATTTACCCTCTTTCTCTCTCTCTTTTTTTTTTTTTGATGGCTGGCTGGTACAGGCATTGAACCCTGAACCTTGGAGTTAGCAGTATCTCACTCTAACCAACTGAGCTAACTGGCCAGCAGCCCTCAACCTCTTTCTCTAATGGATCCTTCTGAGAAGTTATTTTCTCTCATTCAGGCATTTAGGTCTTCAGCCATTTTGGTTTGATCTCTATCTTTACCCCTCTACCTAGTATATATACTTCCTAAAGTCACCAATTACTTTTCTGATTTAAATTTTTTATTCCTTATTTTACGTTATTTATCTCTAACTAGTATTTAACAGAGTTGAGCATTTCTTCTTTCTTGGAAAGTCTCTTCCCTTGGCTTCAATGATTTTGTCCTCTTTTGGTTTTCTTACTGTCTCTCTGGTTCTACTTCTAGTTCCTAGTTCCTGTCCCTCTCCAAACCTTTAGACGTAGACATCCTTGAGGCCTCAGCATTCAGTTCTTTCCTCACACTATATTCTTTACTTATATATTCTTAACCACTCTTAGCATCAATTCTCTTCTATTTGCTGAGGTCTGTTATATGTACAGCCCTTATTTCTCTTCTGAGATCCAAAACTCTAAACATTATCAATCAACAAGTCAAACCTGAATTTATGAGCTTACCTCCCAGTTCTTTTTCCACAAATCTTTACAATAATATTCTGACTTGTTCTTATCTTCTTCAATAAGTTTTCCACATAACAGCCAGAGTAATTGTTTAAAAATATAGTTTTATCACTTTCTTTTATTCCTGTAAGTAAAACTTAAAAATTGTTTCCCATTGCTCTGAGGAGAAAGCATGATCTGCCCCTGGTCCACTTCTCTAGCCTTTTCTTGTGCTGCTCTCCTTTTTGCTTTAGTTACTCTAGCTTTTAGTTTCTCAGACATACCTCTTTCCCATGTTCTCTACCAGAAGCTGTTTCCCTCCTACTCACTGACTTTTTATTCATCATTCATTTCCCAGCTTAAATTACTTCCTCAAAGAAGTCCTAGCTTATGGGTTGCCCTATTAGCCACTATAAAAATAATACTTCATACTTTTTCTTCTTAGCAGTTATCATAATTTCATTTAAATATTTTGAGAAATTATTTAATGTCTCTGTCACTGGACCATTAGCTCCAGGAGCTGGGCTTAATATGTGTTTAGTGAATACATGAAATAAGTGAATTTGCAATGGCAAGTTAAAAATGGTAATAAGATATTAGTTTTTAACATTATTTATTAGAAGCATGATATATTACTGTTACAATAGTGTTACCTCTAGTTTGTTTTAAGCAGGCTAAAAATAAATGTTTCTCTTAGTCAAGAAATCATAAAATAGATGTGAAATTAATTTTTTCTTTTGTAGATCAATAATGACTGACATCCGGAAAGACAATAGAGTCACAACGTTAACTACTCATGCAGGAATCAGAAATTCTCTACTAACAATACTTGATCAGCTTCAGAGATGTCAGAAATCATTAAATGAATTTTTGGAGGCATGTTTTAAAAAAAACCTATATATAATAAATTATAAAGTACTTAATATCTTAATTATTTGAAAAGAGAAAGCTATTCTATTTGTTTTTATTTTTATTAGGAAAAACGCTCAGCATTCCCAAGATTTTATTTTATTGGTGATGATGACTTATTAGAAATACTGGGCCAGTCTACTAACCCATCAGTGATTCAGTCTCATCTTAAGAAGCTATTTGCTGGTAGGATTCACCATTTATTCAACAGATATTTATTGAGTTTCCAGTTATCTGCCAGGCATAGTGTTACACTCTCAGGTAGACTATAGAATAAAATAGTTTGTACATTCAAAGAACTTATAGTTTAATGGAGGAGACAAGTTAGTAGGTTGACAAATGTAATATATGGTGACAATTCCTGTGATTGACATAAGTATGTGGTTCTGTAGCTGCATCTGTGAGGGCATTTGGCTCAGTTTTGAGATATTGTGGAGAAAGTGACATCTAAAGTGAGCTCTGAAGAATGTATAGGCTTTAGTTAGAAGAAAGGTGGTCAGATGGAAGACATATGCAAAGGCCTAGAAGTGAACAAGAATATGCACCTTCATTATAGAGTTTAAGGTCTACTGAGAGACATCAAAGTGGAGATACTCAATAGACAAATGTCACCAGAGAGACTTGGGATGAGGATATGGGATTGGGAGTCATCTCTGTAGAGATAATTAAGCTATAGAGAATAGGTTAGGTTACTTGGGGAAAAGTTTAGAGTAATTAGTGTCATGTGCTTCAATGTTGTTGAGCCAGTTTAGTTGAGTATTTATTAGTGGCAAATGGAATGGGTTTGTTACAAAAAATAATGATGATATTTTTTCAAAATACTTGTTTGGAAAGGACGCATATTTTTCAAATTAACTTTAAGAAGTAAAATACATTTATCATATTCACTTATAATGAGGGATCAGGAAACTAGCTCCTATGGGCCAAATCTGGCTTATTGCCTGTTGTTTTTTAGATGAAATTTTGTTGGAACATAGCCATGCCCATTAGTTTACATACAGCCTGTAGCTGCTTTCATGCTATGAGTTCAGAGTTGAGTAGTTGATGCAGAGACCATATGGCCTGTAAAATCTAAAATATTTGTACTCTGCGCTTTACAGAATTATTTTCCAACCCCTGTGTGTCTGAAGCTTTAGAGTGCTTTTATCTAACTATGATTTAGGCTATGGGAGATAGTAGAAATACTTCTTGTAATCAGAAGGCTTGAATTCAAGCTCTATATCTACTACAAGTGTTTATTAGTTAGTTATTAATTTATCTCTCTGAAATTTAGTTTCCTCCTTTATATTACAAATAATAACTTAAAGGTTTTCTCTGAAGATCAAGCTGAAGTAATGTGTTCAAGTTTTTTATATAGTATAAGGTGATGTGCAAATTTGGGGGAAGAGAAGTCTTATTTGCCCTCTTCCTTTCCTCTTATCTTTTGTCTCATATCTAAATATTATCTGTAATGATTGCTATTACTGCCTCATCTAGGAAAGTTTTTTACTACTTTAGAAATAAACTTTATTGATATATTGTTTACATTTAATACAGTGTTTATATTTTAAGTATATAGTTTGATGAGTTTTGACAAATGTGTATACCTGTACAACCACCAGTTCGTTTGAGGTGTAAAACATTTCCATTAGCCCAGAGAGTTCCCTAAAGCCTCTTTTCAGTCATTCCCTCCCCCTTCCCACCCGCTCCACTGTGCCCCCGGCAAACACTGATCTGATTTTTATCACTATAGATTAATTCCTGCCCTTTCTAGAACTTTGTGAAAGTGAAATCATCAGTATGTATTCCTATGAAATCATTTGTGTCTGGCATTTTTGCTCAGTGTGATGTTTTCAAGATACCTACAACTGTATTTCATTCATGTTTATTGCTGAATAGCATTCCATTGTTTGAATATACCACAGTTTATCCATTTAACTCTTGATGGGCGTTTGAGGTATTTCCAGTGTTTGGCCATTAAGAATAAAATTGTTCTAAACATCCATACAAATCTTTTTGTGGACATATGTTTTTATTTCTATTGGGTAAATACCTAGTTGAGGAATTGCTAAGTCATATAGTACATGCATGTTTAACTTTATAAGAAACTGCCAATCATTTTTCAAAGAGGTTGTAACGTTTTATATTCTCACTAAGAATGTATGAGAGTTAGGACAGTTTTTACTGATTGATATGCATTAATTGATTAAGTTGCCTAAAATACTTTCTGAAAGATGGTGGGAATGAATAAATAAACAAAGATCTTAACAAACAGTAAGACTGCAGCAAAGCATGTCCTATATAGTTAGATATTGATAAGAAATATTTTAGATTAGTGATAAGAATATCCATCAAGAAAATGATTTTTTTCCCCTCAATTAGGGTATTTAAATACTAGGAACACTATATACATTTTATGATATACGTTATAATTCTATTACTTTATAGTATATGTTATTGTGTATATATTTATACATTACAATTTTTTTCCCCTCAATTAGGGTATTTAAATACTAGGAACACTATATACATTTTATGATATATGTTATAATTCTATTACTTTATAGTATATGTTATTGTGTATATATTTATACATTACATGTTATACATATCATATCTAATAATTATGTCTTCAGTTCTTTTGCATTTAAATTGTTGCTTTTATATTTCAGGTATTAACAGTGTGTGCTTTGATGAGGAATCCAAACATATAACTGCAATGAAATCTTTAGAGGGAGAAGTTGTACCTTTTAAAAATAAAGTTCTTCTATCAAATAATGTAGAGGTAAGCAATTCATTTTCAAGTATGAAAATAAAAAGAATTAACTATATGAACTTTGTATCAAAAATAATTTAGCCAATGTTTTGTTAGGTTCGGAGTGTTTTAATTTTATAATGAATATGGAATTTTAGTCTTTGGAAGGTAACATTGACTTTGGAGTCAAAAAGATCTGGATATTAATCTTAGTTTCACAACTTATTAGCTATGTGACATGGAGTATCAGTTTTCTTATAAGTAAAATGGGAATCTTAATATGTGTTACAAAGACTTTCTATTGAAAATCAAATGAGATAATTGGCTTAAGTATACCATATAGTGCTTGGGACATAAGTACTTAATAATTCTAAAGTTCTCTTTACTCTTTAAAATGTGAATTGTGTAAGATGATTTAGGTGAACAAGTACGCTTGAAACTAGTGTATTTATAAACAACTGTTGATTAACTGGTGCTGCAGGACCGGAAGTGATCAAAGGTCCGTTATAGGCATACAGCTAAAACCAAACAGCAATAGGTTGCATCACATTCAATAGTAATTTTCAGGTTCCAAAATTGTCTTCCAACTAGAAGTCAAGTGCCATACTTTATCATGTGCATATCCATACAGCCTAGCAGAATGTCTGTCCAGGTTAGGCCACAACAATTTATTGAATGCGGAGTGTATAAATTAGGTGGTTGAAAGCATAGACGTTTTGCTAAGTAGCTCCCATGTTTGGTTAAGAGTTTTGCTGTCGTTGTTTTACTTTCTTGTAGTTTTGTTGGGACAACAGAGAGAGCAAGAGATTAAGTTTTAGCAACTGGGCTGGAGCAGTTATTCCAGCAAAGGAAAAGCCGAAACTCTGGAAGCTGTTGTGATAATTAGCAGAGTAGTTGTCTTTGTTGTCTCCCACTGAGAGACAGATTCTTGCTCTTTAGCTTCAGAGGCTTTTGAGCTAGGCCAAGGTTCATGTTATTTTTAATATTGGAAAGTACTCTATAGGTTAAAAAAAAAAGCCATAATAGGTATGTAATAAGGAAAAACTGATAGTAGTTTTTGCCTTTATATTTTATTGAGAATGATACATATTTAAAATTTAGTGATTCATAAGTATTTATTATTGTTTCTATCAATCGTCATTATTATTTTAATCTTTATTTTTTTTTTTGTACCTGGCCAGTACAGGGATCCAGAATATTTTAATCTTATTTTAAGTTTTGTTTACTTTTATTATTTTATCTATGATCGAGTGAGTGGAAGATATATTGTTTTGACTTTGAAACAAAATTAGTTTTATTTAATGAGGCAACCAAATCCCTCAAATAATATAGTTCACCATGAAGAAGGAATCTCTTCTTATGGTTGCAACTTTCTGAGTGTGAGATCACCAGGACAACATGAGCTGGGTGACTTAGCCAGCCATTTTGACCCTGACTAATTGGCCCAACTATCTAGTTTGATTTTTCTTAAAGATAAAATGAATCGGTTACTTTTAAATGTTCATATTATATTTGTTTGTATATATATAGTCATGATAGTAATAGCTATTTATGAGTTTCACACTCACCATTATCCCAAGAGGTGAAAAAATTGTTTTCTTCAAATTATTTAAGCCATTTGTTAATAAAATAAATAATTATATGCTATTTAACACATTTTGGAAGTATGAGAGTAAGAAATTACCCCCTCCTGAAATAAAAGAATAGTGTCATTCAATAAATTATATATTTGTTTTCTGACTTGTGTATATTATTTTCTAACTTTATTTTCAGGCTTGGTTGAATGATTTGGCCCTGGAAATGAAGCAAACTTTGAAACAGTTGTTGGAGGAATGTGTTACTACTGGGCAGAGTTCTCAAGGTGCAATTGACCCATCTCTGTTCCCTTCACAGGTAAGGTGGCTTATGTCCGGAATATAGGTAGGCATGGTATCATGGAAAGATCCCTGACCTGGAGGTCAGGAGGCTCAGATAACTGGAATCTTTGTTCTCTCTTTATTTAACAGTTAACATCAACAAATTGCACAACTTCTGGATCACAGTTCCCTCAACTGTAAAATGTGGGGGATGAATTGCATGATAGTGTATGATAGTGAAGTTTCTTCTAGCTCCATAATTTTGCTATAATTCAGATAATTTCAAGCAGAAGGCATGCTGAGATCTAAGCAACCCAGGCCTGCAGTGAACGGGATGGGGAGGGGAGAATCAGACATGTAATAGTTTCCTGGTTTCAGATGATTAGTCCATCATTGATGGAGAGGTACAAGATCTATAGTACTACCCCTTTACTCCTACCATAGGATCATCTAAGAGGTTGGACCTGGCAGTAGCTTAACAGGGTGTTAGCATAGTTCGGAAATACAGTCACAATACCAAACTGGAAAATTGGCAGGGAATCTGAGAGGTCACATGGTGGCTTATAGAGATTGCTGCAGCTCAGTGTTCATAGGGCTTATCTCTGGAACACTAGATACTAGATATGTTGCTTACAAAACTTATTCTAGACCTTATCAAAGTGTAGCACTAAGAATTGTGTTAAACATTCTGCCTTGTTCAGGATTTGGGCCAGATTGATACTACAGATATAGGTCACCAAGAGCTTTAGTTCTTGTAGACTATGGGAGGGAGACATTGAGATGTTCTGTGATTTCTCATAGGAGAGTCTACCCAACATCTCTCAAAGTTACTTTCTTTTCAGATTAAAAAATTTTATAGTTACTGGGACAGGTTTTTATGTTGGCTCTCTTAAAGTATGGAAGCTCGGAGCATTTTAGATTCTGAGCTATTTTATCATAAATATCTTCTGTATCTTTTAGCATTTTAAGGCAAACTAAAATATGTTTAAAAAAATCTTAAGTTTGTAGAGAAAAATAAAAGTAATCATCACTGAATAATCAATGTCACTGCAGAATCAGAGTTAAGGTTCTTTATTACCTCTGAAAATGTTTCCTGGTACTCTGCCAGCTTCCAGATAGGATTCAAATTGGTTTAGAAGAAAAGACAAAATGTGAAAAAATCCACAAAAGCAAGAATTGCATAATGATTGGGTTAGGGAAATGACAATTATATCAGGGGATATTATTGGGAGATATAGGCTAAAGAAATTTGCTGAATTTTAGCATGAGGCTTACTTTTAGGACCTTGAACAGTCAAGAAAAAATGTGGTACTAAAAATGTAAATACTTCATTATCAACCAAAACAAAGAATTCCAGTTTGTTTGCAGTTGTGCTAAGAAAAATTTATCTCAAGAGCATTTATATAAGGGGATTGATTGTTATAACTGGTTACATCATGTCTGGTACAGGCTATTATGTGCTGGTAATTTAGTTATCTTTTTGTAAGGACCTGGAATAATGTAGAGAAAGCACTTTCTGGTCTTGGAGGGGGGCAACATGGTAAAGTGAAAAGAATCTGACAGACTTTGGTTTAAATGCTGCCTTTGCCAGTTATTCTCTGAGTGATATATTTTGACACTCAGTTAAGAGTATAATCGTATACACATCACCAAGTCATTTTGAGGGTTATGTCATAAAATGTTTGCACAGCAACCTTAGTGACCATCACATTTTAAGTAATTAATAATGCTAGTGCCTGATCAGATATCTAAATGATAATGTGACTGGAGAAACAAAGATTGTGTGTCTTGACTATCACTTCTGTTAGCCTGTCATGGAAATTATGTAGCAGATTATTAAGAACTGAGATTACTGATATGCGTTTATAATACAGAAATTTAGTATGATAGCCTGAAAGGAAGTCCACATGTTTGGGTATAAGTTTTGGAGGTGGTAAGTGAACATTTTCATATGAAAATTAATGAGCAGTCTTCTTAAAAA